TGTTCTAAATAATGATGCAGTAAAGATCCTTGTCAGTATATCTTTGTTTTCTCTTGTTATTTCTAATGGATAGATTTCTAAATTTTTTTTTTTTTCAACGTTTATTTATTTTGGGGACAGAGAGAGACAGAGCACGAACGGGGGAGGGGCAGAGAGAGAGGGAGACACAGAATCGGAAACAGGCTCCAGGCTCTGAGCTATCAGCCCAGAGCCTGACGCGGGGCTCGAACTCACGGACCGCGAGATCGTGACCTGGCTGAAGTCGGACGCTTAACCGACTGCGCCACCCAGGCGCCCCATCTAATGGATAGATTTCTAAAAGGTGGATAATTTGAGCAAAGAGTGTGTGTATTTTAAACTCTGCTAGGTATTGCCAGATCATCCTCTGAAAGGGCCACCCTCTCACCATAAGTGTTTGAGAGCAGTTGTATCTTTTTAGTCTTTCAACGCTGGGTATTATTTTTTATATTATTTTTTTCTCAAGTAATCTCTGTGCCTAACATGGGGCTCCAACTCATGACCCTGAGATCAAGAGTTGCCGGCTCTACCCGCTGAGCCAGCTAGGCGCCCAACATTGGGTATTATTCTTTTTGCTAATCTGAGAGATGGAAGAAGTTATCAGATCCTAATTTGCATCTTTTTCTTTTAAACATTATTTTGTGGGCTTATTGGCTATTTATATTTCTTTTCTAACTCGTCTTTTAATATTAGATGTGTACTTTGTTCTTATTGAATGTAAGAGTTCTATTTTATGGCTTCACACCTGTGACAGGAAATTTTGTGTCAGAAAGCTCTAGACCAAACTTTAAAAGTCCTCTGCGGGAAAACAACAGACCATTAATCTTGTTAACAGGTGATATGTTGTTATCACAGGTGGTTCTGTTGGGAAGAGCACAATTTGACATCATGTGTGAAATGCGATGTGTTGTGTAGCTTTGTATACAGTGACACTCTCCTCCCATGTGGGATCTTTGGTAGTAAGTAGGAAGTGACTGCTGAACCCTTTGCAGTGAGATTCAGAGTGTGATGAGCCAGTGAATTACTGGCCAGGATCACTGCACTGGTCTGGTGTAGCTACAGTTTTTATTTTTTATTAAAAAAAATTTTTTTTAATGTTTATTTTTGAAAGACAAAGTATGAGCAGGGCGGGGGGGGGGGGGGG